GAGATCACACCTAAGACTGGTGTGCTGCTTGCGAGAATTTAGTAAAATCGCGGTGCTTAGTAGTTTCAGAAACCGCAAAAGTCAGACCTTTTATTCGTTTCTCAAAAACCAGCTAGAACCGCGTCCTCATAATACGCGGTCTGACTTGCGACAATTTTTACCTGTTTTTTTGCAAATTTTTTTTCATGAGTAATAGATCACTTAAAACAAGAAAGAAATCTAATATTTATTTCTTGTATTTTTATTAGAATTGCAAGTCGTCTGTAAAACATATTTAGATTATTAACAAATAGAAGAAATAAATTATGAATGTATTCTTTTTCAGGTTTTCTCATTTACAGAAAGTCAAGATTTTAATTAAGCCGTTACATTCTCATATGGTTTTTTTTATCATCGAATCCATGAACCTTTAAATGTTAAACACATTCATCTTTATAATAATACTTTATGAATACCAATGAATAGACACTATAAAGATAACGTTTTTTTGTACTTTATCTGATATATAAAATTTGTTTAGTATCTATCTGAATAAAAGAGCATTCGATTATATCACATACATTACTTTCATTAGCTTGTTGCGTTGGTCCAATGAAATGATATGTACCATCTAGCGCTGATACCGCAAATTTGATTGAATTTGTTGGACCAACCGTTCTAATTGTAGTAGTTTGAATTTCGAATGTACTAGATTGAAAATCATAGCAACAAGTAGTAAACCATTGTTGATCGTACAGCCAAAATAAAGTTTGAAATGAAGTTATCATAGAATTGAGAATACCAAAGTAATCGTTCGTTTCGTCAATGAAAGAAAAGAAAAATTGAAATTCATCCAGTTTAGGTAACTTAGCGCAAATGAATTGCTCCCAATTGTAACCGTCAAATATAGAATCGAATGCACGATTTCGAGATATTAATTTAAGATGAACAAGTGCTGGTGTACATGAGAGTAACGATTCGAGAAGTTCTACATCCAAAAAACATTTGTTAATAGTCAATGATGTTAATAATGGAGAATGTTTGATAGGAAGGGGGGAAGTGCCAAAACCGGTATAATCTAACTTGCAAA